TTCGACATTAGCCAGAGAGTCAGGCTTATTTATGTGACCGCATTGGTAATTACGCACGAGGCGAGAATGAGAGAAGACGTCCCAAAGAGATAGGGCGCCCTATCATCTCGACGATGACGACACTCGGTCCGAACCTGTTTTCGAAATCGAATGAATACGCCTGTTTTACGATGCCGAATACCGTTACGACTACCCATTCACAGTCTTGTTTCCGGTTTTTTACGAAAGGTGCTAACGTTAATTTTCGCTACGTGTCATTTCGCGAGCTAGTGCTACTGTTCGGAGAGCGCTTTTAACGACGTTACTTTATGACCTCTCGAAAAGCCGTTGCAAAGGTAGGGTTTCCCCATAAAGATCCACATCATCCTTTAGTCATGGATTGTTTAATAAACATGGAACAAATTTCTTTTCACGTTAAATTGGATATCAAATCGTCACATTTAATATTTTTTATATTTATATTTTTCTTATTTTTAATAATTATTATATAAATATTGTGTATAACTGTAAAAAGTTATATAAAATATTTCTAAACCATATTATATTACATATAGAACTTTGTTTGAATCATCCTGCGTAAGAAACATTTGCTAATTCATCATGAGCATGAAAGAAAGATGCAAGTCGCATCCGGTTTAGCGAGAAGAACGGCTTTTTGTAATATACGATGATTGCATTTGCTACGGATTTTCCGGCAGCAGAGAGGATGGTTCTTTATCCCAAATTATTTACGCTTTGTTCCGCGTGAATTAACATCACCCACGGCATTCCAAGAATGATGACGTTCTGTAAGGTGAAGAAAGTACCGGATGCACGCGGTGGATCCGGTGAATTCTTTGTCTTATTTTATTCGATCCATAAATCGCTGAAGCTTATTATTTGTATTCCGCGTGTTTCATACATTACGAAAAACGTGTGAAAGGATGTTGATATAAATTACATATCGGATGTCACGATATTTTCTTGCTACAATGACCATGATAGCCCATATTCCCGTCGTATATTTAATTTTAATTTAATTTAAATTTAATTTAAAAATGAAGGATTTTTTCGCATAGTTCTAAATGATAAGTTTATGAAATACTTTTATCTCCTGATTCTAAATAAAGCGTGTTACATGTGTTAAAAGATGAAGGTAAAACATTGGATTCAATTAACGTAAAATAATCTTTTTCTTTTGACAATGATTTTACAAGAGATGAAATAACATATACCTTTTTTGGACTTTATAGAACTTCATAAATTATCAACAAGCTTTGGTTCATTAATGAGCATGCCAACTCTCTATTCCTTCGATTGGTCAATATATTATCTTAGCCTATTTAGCCCGGATATTCATTTCTTTTCATGCGAACACGATTTCACGTATCAATTTTGAGGCGAGATTTATCGGCGATGCGAATCATCGAGCGTTTCCATCATGCGTGAGGAATTTCTCTCATTCTTAAAAGACATATAAAACAAAATCCGATAATTTTCAAGGCGATTCGTGAACTAAACTAATTCGATCCGTTTGTTTCGCCGATATTTCACTCGCCATTATAGTGTCAAGTTGTTTGGGCACCACTGACTCGCCTCGCCAGTTTGTAGCTTACAACCCAATAATTAGAAGCCCGCTTATAATTATACAAAATAGGCGTGGCGAATATTTATCACGCGGGACGCTTTCGATCGTTCCATGTACGACGAAACAGATTTTTCATGATTCTTTTTTCTTGACACCGTCTATCCGCGTAATCTACGCGGATGCGCAAAGTGAACATCTTTACAGCATATCAGGTGGACATCATGCAAATCGATTAATAATAGAGTCCGAGAAGTCTTACCGAACTAACCGGAGGCAGTTTCGATTATTAAAATTATATAGTTCTCTGCCTCTCCCTTTACGGATTATTATAAGTAATTTCTAAAGAAATATTACGAATCGTAAGATGAATAATCTATAATATTACTCATCCGTTCATGTAATATCCGGTAAATGCGATTATATTCATGAAATAATTGTGCAAATAATAAAAAAATAGTTAATTATTGCTAAAAATACTACACTGAAAAATAATTTAAACAAGCTCTTACTTTATATATACGAGCTTTTTTTAGTTCTGTGTGTATTTAATCTAATCTGACTCTTTTTAAACTGTTTTATATTATTTAGAACAAAAAAGTATAATATCAAAAATCCAAAGTCAAAAATGTTGACAGTATAGATTACGTATGATAATATAATGATTACAAATTATTAATTTTCGGATTTTACCTCTGTCTCTCTTTTTCCGTAATACATCACGTTATTCTTTATTAAAAATTATCATAGATTTATATAGTATATATTAAAAATTTCTAGGAAACTAGTAATTTAGAAATTATTATTTCTAAATATTCGTAGCAACAATGATAAAAAATATGAAAAAAATTTCACAGACAATGTAATGGCAGCAGCTCTGGTTACGAGGGCTGCGAATACCTTTGCTGCGGACGTGGTCACGTTACCAGGACCGAGAACATCCTGGAGAGATGCGACTGCAAGTACATCAGTTGCTGTTACGTAAGGTGCAAGACGTGCAGACGGGTCATACAAACGTATGAGTGTAATTAAAGATACGCGGATCCGGGACAATTATTATGTACGAGCGGGATGAATGCAGCCTTAATCCGCTCGAAGAAGAAGAAACGCCGAACGGTTAACGATGGAATTAGATCCACATGCGCGCGCGTCACATATAACAATCTATTCGATTTATAAACTATATAAACTAACAATAAGACCAAATTAATTCTACGAGAGATGCGCGCGGATGTGAAAGTTGCATCTCGAGTGAGATTCACGCATTCGGTGGCGAGTGAAAACCTGATCTCGCGCGCGGATAAGAAAAACGCAGCGCTAATTATTTAGACGATAAATTATTTATCGTGAATATATAACTCATGGCAGTACGTAATACAGGAGTTATTTATACTATGCTATATATTTGCTATTTATTCAATGTATGTGCGTGTGCATGCGTATGTGTATATGTGTGTGTGTATGTATATCGTGGAAATCCTATGTTTGTCCGCGATGATAATCCGTTTGCCTCTCGATAATCGCGGAATTAATGTAAATTGCGTTATGAAGGAATTGTCGTAGATATTTTGAGACTTAAACGTAGATCAGAGCAATGTACATAGAATGCTCGAATTCAATGTAACCTACATTCTGCAATATATCTTGCTTAGAAATGGCATCTCAATCTTATTCAATCGTTTCCCGCCAAGCAAAAATAACTCGCATAATTTGATACTATTTAATTAGATATATGACAAGATTCAATTTTCATAGTGGAAATTTATGTGTGGATATAAATGATTCAACAACATTCGAATTCGATTCATCGCCGAAAATAATTTTGTATGAAATATTTTTCAGTATCTCGTCAGTTTAAATCCTTTTCTCTTTTGTATGATATGATTAACAGAAAAATAGTTTGTTGATCAGATGGAATGACAAAGCCATTTATATTATATTGTATTAAATTAAATATGTATCACATCTGTTGGAATGCGTGTGGATGATACAATAAACATAACAATATCTGCTCGCGAGTTTGACCAAATTTCATAAACATTTCATGCACTGAAAAAACTGATTGGTAATAGTTATCAAATACATTTAGTTGTGAATTTTAATTGAATATTTGATAATAGTTACTAAATCTTCGATTGGTCCATTTATAAACAAATTTTGTTCATAATTGAGTAAATTAAACAATTTAGTAATAATTACTAAATATTTAATATTTGTCACAAAATCTTTGATGGTTGTAATTAAATATTAGATATATATTACTAAATCATTAAATCCTAGTATTTACTACTAAATTCTTTTTTCAGTATGGATACTTGAGATTATTATTATAAGAGACAATAATCGAAAAATTTCGATAAATATTGTACAACTTCGAGATTCGTTTTTTCCTCTACAATCTTTCTATTGTATAAATCACCAAATAAAAATTCCATATCTGTGTATAATCAGAAGTATCACTAAGATAATTTATTTTACACAGTCTCTCTGATTTTTTCTAAATCAATTTTCTCAACATTTTCTTTATAGCAGCATTAATTAGTAAAAGCTATTTTTATTAATGCTATTCTAAATAATATTCAATAAATTTAAAAACATTTCCATATATATATTTAGAAGTTAGAGTAGTAACAATTTGTAAAAATAGCGTGAAATTATAATCTTCGCGTATAGATCGCATAATATTATCGCATACAATCTCTCTATTACATATTTGCAAATTATTATTATCTTGAATAGACTTATTAGTGTAAAAATCTTTTTAAATTTATTAAATATTATCAACAGAAAGGCATTAATAAGTAGCCTTTATTTTCTATTACGCAGATTGTTATCATATGTTATTAAAGAAAATAGTTTATCGTTGCCAAATATGATTGAGATAAAAAATCTGCGACAAAAATGTTATTTATTTCAAATGTAATCTTAGCTGCCAAATAGCATAAACCGGATTTATCAGGCAATTGCTCTATTTAATTTATTAAACAATCCGTCTCTCCAAAGTGAGGTAAGTGCAGGAACTACATTGAATTTCCAACTAAAGCCGACATATAAATGTATTTTATATATTTATCAAAACGCTATATTTTTTATTAATATATGAAAAGCCAACAGGTATATACGACGAGACCAATACGCGATTATCGCAATATACGACCCAAATAGTATTGCAAATAAATTAATAATTTTGTATTAATCAATATTTCACGCTATATTTTTTATTAATATATGAAAAGCCAACAGGTATATACGACGAGACCAATACGCGATTATCGCAATACGACCTAAGTAGTATTGCAAATAAATTAATAATTTTGTATTAATCAATATTTAATTTGTATTAACAAATATTAATTCTTATTTATATCGATATAAACTCGCCGAGTTCAGATATTTTAATATCACACGATTCTTCATATTCGTAAATAAATAAAACGTGACGTTCGATATAAGATCCTTTTTCGCGTACATGAAGCATTGAAAATTAAATTTTCCGAAATTACACTGCTTTCAAAAATATTCTTAATATAAAACATCATCGATACACAAAATAATCATAAAACGATGACATTGTACATACCTGGCGATGATCCTGATGCACTCATTATGTTTTCAATGCATTTCGGCGAGAGAAGACCTCAAAATAATTAATGATTTTGATCGATTTCACGCATACAAAAAGAACATTACTGATACCGAAATCGTGATACTGTCGAAGATTTTACGACACGACTGTATGCGATTTGTTCAGGTTAGAACACTTTACAAAATATTTTCGAGAATTTATCGTGAGTAGATTTCACTTTTAAACGCAATAACAATTATAAGAAATACGTACGCAATCTGTTACACTGGATTGTACAATCTATATCTATCACGATTCGAGAAGCTATCAAGGTCTCAAGGTATTGCAATATTCAAAGTATCAGAAAAGAGCGGCAAACTCCAGGCCTGTCAGACAGACGTGCCAACATGTCAAAAAAATTAGTTTTCTAGTAACTTCTGAAAAGCAAATTCTATTGGCTATCGGATGCGTTTGATCGTTTTGGACAAAAAATATGTCCAATCAAGAGAGAGATTCATAGAAAAACATTCCTATGTTATAGGATTATTATTATGGTAATAAAATATTTAAATCATAATTTTTTTCAATGTCGAGTGTACGAGTTACGTTTCTATATCTTTGTCGTTCTCCGTCGCGTTCTCTTCTGCCTTTATGTCCAGATCCTTGATAAATTCACACCAGTTTATTCCTTCCCCGCAATCCGGCTCTTTTTCGGATGCCCACCAAAGTGCTGTCTGCAAACAATAAATAGTATGCGTCATTTCTTCTTTTTTCACTGAATTTCTTTTGTTAAAAAAAGATAATTTATCAATACAAGTAAAAAATTTTAGAAAATAAGATAATAGATCACACATGTATGCCAGATCACTAATGTACCTTTACATTCACAGGTGCAGCAGGTGGTAAAGGATCGATCTTCGCGTTCATGAATTGCAGCAAGTCGTTATAGTCGATTTTACCGTCTTCGGCTTTGTGTAAACTTATAAGAATAATAATGTATTAATTGTTAAATACGATCGGTTAAATTACAAATTCGTTTAAAAAAGAAAACTTACTGATCCAGCATGGAATTTAATAATTCTACGTCGACGGGAATTCTACAACCGCGCAAGACGGTATATAGGAATTCTCGAGGTAAGAATCCCGTTCTATCTCTATCCCAATGATGTAGATCTTCTTTTAAACGATCGAGATCATGCCATAGAAATCGATGTAGTTCCGTATGTAATAATTGTCTAAAGATGCAATCAATAATCATCGATTTTATTATTACGTATTAATAATTTTCTTAACTTTATCTTTTAATTTTTAAATGCTTACAATAAAAAAATCTTCCAACATTTTGATAATGAAAAAATTATTCTTTGTATTTTATCTCTTAGCAATTATTGTTTAGAAAAATAATGGCAATATGATATATTTTAGGAAATTTCATTAAAATGAGATTTACACATACCTCACATACTCTCTGGATTTATGCTCGATCTTCTCATGAGGCGCATAGTATCGAGCAATCGTGATTATTTCATGTTCTGTTATTTTATCCCCCATATACCGACCCAATGCTTCTCTAAAAAATTTAATCATGGAAATAAAATCACGCGCGCAGATAAAAATATATAAAATTATTTTATATACGTACTTAAGCTTTTCATATTCTAATATTCGAATATCATCTTTCGTATCTTTAGGAGCATATATTTGAATGAATTCCTTATAAACTGGTTGTAAACTCTCTCGAAGTTTTTCCATTATCAATTTCTTGTTTGCTTTTGGAAACTGCAATAAAGAGATAATTATTTCTTTTTCATTTACGATAGAATGGAATAAAATAGAATAAAATAGAATTTTAAATACAATCTAAGAATAAAAAATAGTTTAAATAAAATTTATGCTATAAATATATTAACTTGATAATTAATTCTATTTGATTATAAAGATTAAAAAATTAGTTCTTCAACGTTATTTTGGAATATATTTAGGATAAATCTTTATATATATATAATAAAATTTTTCAGGTATTTTTGCGAATTGTAGATACCTTTATCTTTAATTGTAGATATCGTCTATTTTTATTATTAGTACCTTAAAATATGAATTTTCATATCTTCACAAACCTTGTCGCAATGTATCTCCATGTAACGGAGGGCATAAATATCCGCAGACGTAATCTCGAAATGAAAGTCGTTTAAGTTTATACGCGCTCCTATGTAAAAATCTTGTGGTTTATAGCACTCCGGTTTCTTGCTCGTGAAAATATCTTGATCAGGCAACATTATCGGCATTCGTTTTTGAAATAAGGATCTCAGAAAACCTAATTTAATTTTTTTACATTTATATATTAGATTTAATATATTTTATTCCAATCTTATTTTATATATATTATTTCTTTTATATATATATAATATTAAAATTTTTCAAGCTTTTTAAATATACCTGAATTTCGTTTGCCTAATTCAAAAATAGATATTGTATCGTTCATGAGAAATATTCTTACAATGAATTGTCTATCTTCGTTAGCTGGGATTTTCGATATCATTTTTGCTCGAAATCTCAAGACGTGACTATTAAAGCCCTGCCTAAAATAATAAAAAATAGAATTAAATAAAAAAAAAACATTTTCAAAGCATATTTTGCTTTTTACTTACTTGTCATGATACAAAAACTTAATGAAGTCTGCCTTGGGTGGTTTTGGTATCATCGTAAAACAGTTACCAAGAGAATCTTCGTAAGATCCAAAACCATTGTAGGGTGGTATATATCTTTCTATCGTCTGGTATAATTCATCATCTTTTTGAGGTTCTGTCAAAGGCGTGAAATCATCCAAACCATATTTTGTCCTAAAGATTATTTAAAAAATATACACAAATCAGTTTTTGATGAGGATAGGATTTTTTAAGAAATTCTGATCATCTTACCGGTAATACTCCTTTGTAAAAGCGTCCATGTCCGTGATAACAATTTTTCTACCAAAGACGTTGATCACCGATCCAATACTCAACTCATTATCTTTGTAATAATCGGCGGAAATTTTTCCAGTGTTAAGAGAATCCACCATGTAATAGCCCTGTCTTGTATCTTCGCCTAAGACATTTAAAATCGTGAAATGATCCTCTGCGCCAATCGGTTGCAATCCAGTATAAAACTAAAATCAATTTAAAAATTTAAGAAAGTTTATAATGTTTTAACAATTATTGAAACAAATCTATTATTTTATAATAACATCGTATTTAGTATAACATAAAAATTTATATTAATGCATATATTTGATGCTTTTGCGTTAAAATTGTTGATATTTGTCATACTTTCGGTATTTTCATTCTTTTAACGAACAAGGGACCCGAATCTTGGCCAGCATTTGGCGGTACGTTTTCTTTGATTTCCATTGTATTATCAGAAAGATAATAATGTAGTTCGAGATCGTGAACGATGCCATGCAAACTCTCGGTATCATCCCAATATCCGTAAAATCGAAGCACTTGTCTATCGTATTTTAAAAAGTTGCCAAGAGTGTCCACCATGCGATTAGGCTTTTTTGGAAATACTTCCTGCGTATAAAAATATAACATAAATTTAGTATAATAAAATTAATATAGTCTTAATATAATAACGAAATAAGTAAAAACGTTGTATAGAGTGATTTCGTGTTAAAATATTATTTTATTTTAAGCATGCGCTATAAAAATTCTGTACTTACGACTTTTCGAACTTCAGAATAAGGATCCTTTGGTATATCAATAGGATCGGGCACTGATATTCCCATACGATTAAGAAAATGTCTTGTAAATTTATCGCAATCTACAATTTTGTACACTCGTCCGTATATCTCTGGTTCCTTGCCGATATTTAAATCAAGTATGTCGTAATATCTGTATTTCACTTGATCGGGTATTGGTATTCTTTGCCGTCTAACCAGAATCCCTTCGCATAAAAAATTATTATAACAATTGTAATATACATTTATAATAATTGCAAATAATGTTTATTTATATTTTGATTTTTTCATCATATTGTTTGCGTTGGATATAATAAAAAACAGGAACAAATATCGTATATAAAAATAATAATTAAATATAAATAAAATAATAATGTTGCTGACAAAATAGCGATAGAGAAAAATTATAAAAATGAGATGCACCGTTGAACCTTGCTCAAGACCGCTGTTATCCACAGACGGCTCTACGATCTTTATCGTTCCATCTTCTAGAAAAAAACTGATATTCACCACGCGAACGTGAAAGGCCGTTTTCCACTTCTCTTGCACAGTTTCTTGAAAAAATGCTTTGAACATGAGTCTCTAAAAATGCAATCAAAATAACGTTGTTAATTAAAATCAATATACAATTTTTAAGTAAAAAAATTTTGAAAATTTAATTTTTACACTAAAATAATAATTTGATTATAATTATTATATTTACATATACACACATGCACACACTTTTAAAAGAGAATTTATTTATTTAAAAGGTAAAATTTTATTTCGATGAGCATTTATTGTCAATCATATACTCGTACTTGGCCATCATATTCGAGCCATGGCGGAATTTCTGGCATCTCTCCTCGGGGATAAATGGATGAATAACGACTGTAAACGCTTGTATCTGCCTTCTCCGATAAATAATATACTCCATCGTGTATCTTGTCGAAATATTGTCTTTTGTGAAATCTAGTTCTACCAAGCTATACAAAATATGCATATATATTTATGACATATATAAAATTCTTTCTTTCTATATATTTCGATATTTTTATATTGCACTTATATTTTATATTAAAGAACTACATTTTATTATATTTCTCTTTACAATTAATACTATTATAATGTGGTATTTGGTTGATTACATATGTTATAACTGTATTATAAATATAAAAGCACTTACGTTCTTGTCAAAGCTAAATCCTGGAAGGCAAGGTAATATCCGCGGTGCCCGATGCATACTGATAAAAATTCTATCAATTCACCGTTAAATTATCATATTAAATTAATTACAAATGGTAGCAGTGAAGGTATACACTATTTATATAAAAGCTTCTTTGTGCGGCGAGAATATCACTGACAAGAAGTACCATATTTATATACATTATATCATTGAGTTTCCTTGGTGATCGTTAGATCTATACAGTAATATGTGTAAAAAGAGAGCGTGAGATCTCTCTCTCTCTCTCTCTGTCTCTTATAATTTATAGAGAAGAATAGAGAAATAGAAAGATGTATATCTCTTTAATTGACAACATAGAAATAACATTTTTATTTTAATTACAACATATATTTTATATAAATGCAAATAATTTTGCGATAAGTATTTACAATAATAGAAAGAATAATAGAAATATATATAAATAATATATATATATATATAGCAAAATCTTTCTGTGATACAAATATAAAGCGTATATAATTCAATTTTTCAAGAATTATGCTGTATTAAAATTATTTAAACTATGTTAATCTGTATCTTTGATAAGATGTATCTTATAAAAGCATATATAGTTATTAATATAATCACCTATGTAATCGCTTATTAGTAAATATCGCAATTAGTAAATACATTACTCAATTTTCTTAGTAACAAAGCAGTATTGAAACAGAGTAAAAAAAAAGAGAATATAATTGCTGCAAAGAGAATAAAATAACTTCCGTAATTAATTTTTACAATATTAATCATACAAATCAATCATGATATATAGTAAATCATTCACAGATCATTCTACAGTAATATCTATATATAATGTTGTGTATTTTGTGTCGTAATCATTAATTCAAGCACAAAACAAAAAACAGTAAGTGTATTTAATATCAAAAAATGAAAAAATTGGTAGAATGGAAAAATTTTCAATATTTCTTAAGTGCATTTCAGTTAATCATGCTTACAATTACAATTATACAATTGTATTCTCGCAGATTAGGAATAATATCAATAATATTATTTGAGATTCACGAATATAACACACATTGCCAAATCGAGTATTTAATTAAACATTCAATGATCGATTATTTCAAATACATTTCTAAAAAGAGAATACATGTAAAATTTAACACATGTAAAATTATAAAATCTATTAAAACTTAATTTCTTTATGCATATTGTTTTGTAAGTATTATTTTATTGATCTTACAGATCAGCACAGAATAGCAGTTCAAGTTATATTACTAAGCCAATCCGTCTCTTTGCCTGAGAAGGTTACAGCAACACTGTAAATCAAATCATTTCTATGCCATTGGACGGCGTAAGTACAAATATTTAATAAGAGATTTATCTTATTTTATAAGACGTCTCGCGTCTCATATAGCACCGTATAGTTACTTATTTTAATATATATATAAATCGTTAGTTTAACAACATAACATAGTCAATGGAATATTGTAATTATAATATTGAATGAAACTTTCATCGTTTGTAAAAATTGTTCAGCGGGAATTTAAGCGGCTGTTTTGTCAGACATCCGCATAAACGTTCGAAGCCCCGCTTCCTTTTCCTCTTTTTCTAGTCTTTGATTTCCGGTTGTAAATCGTGCCAAGTAGTAATACTTTTTGAAACGTCGATTTCGCTTAATTTCAAGTGAAGTTGTCCCATCACATTGCTTCCAGTCGACAGCCAACCCTTTTGAGTGCATACAGATACCTCTAACGTTCGCGTGTTTAAGTCTCCCTGCGAAACCACATATTCAAATTGCTCGTCGAATGTTGGATTACAATTGTCCTTCATTACGGCAGTCTTGCGCTTTGTTTCTTTGTGTCGGTCCGGTAAAAGATAAAGTTTCACGTATGGATCCGGTATATTGTGTGGATCATTTTGAGGGAGTGGTAGATTACTGTAATGTAACATGTAAATATGTAACAGGAGATAATGTTGATTAAATTCATTATGTGACGAGAAGATATTGATCAACTTACGCAATTTTATGTACAACAACAATAAGTTTCTGTCTCTGCACACTGTAACGTAATGTCAATTGTATTCTGCCTAATTTTGCTTCACCCTGAAAGGATGTCATGCTTAAGTTTCTGTGGATGAGCTGAGGACTTTCAGCCAAAGAGGATGGAGCGCTGGTGCTGACTATTAATTCTTCTTCTACCACTGCTGATTCCTCAGGTAAAAGTGCGGGTCCATTATTATGAGACTGACTGTTGACTGATTCTTTTGAAGGTTGTTTTTTAAGAGGGCTGGGAGGTACTGTAAGAAAATATATCGTATGAAATATAATATGCATTACATCTGTCATATAAGATGAGGGTTTAAAAAAGTGTTTTTTTTATAGAAAATATTGAGTTCTATCCTTTAATTTAAGAAAGTAAAAGATTTCAGGCGATATTAATACTATTATACTTACCACTAGAAAATAATACGTTACTAATGTTAGACTCCTGACGCTCAATTCGTTTATTTAATTGATTGATGTCATGATCATCTTCATCTTCTTCGAAAGTGGGTTCAGGCTCTTCGTATTTCAAGATCTATAAAAACAAGTTGTCTTGTGCGATTGATATATCTAAATGCATTGTTAAATTCTGCACATACATATAAGGTTTTCTATTACTTACATTTAATGACATTGACAATACAAGCTTACTATCCGCCTCGGCCATTTGCAAATCATACGGCTGTTGCGTTATTTCCAAATTATTTTTTTCCAAAAGCAAGGAAAGATTATAACTCATTTCTCCAACTGTTATGGTAGTTTTCTCATCTATAATCTAAAATGTAAACAATTATTAAATTGTTATTAAATAATAATAAATTTTGTCTCACATATTTTTTTTTTTAAAGTGCATAGGAAACCTTTATGTACAAAATGCCAGTTTCAGGATTGCTGACTAAAAAGGTATATCCTTGTTCCCATACTGGATCGCAAGAACGTGGTATAGTAGGTGTTCTCTCTTTCTTCCCATCAATCCTTGCTTCCAAATAAACATCAGGTTGTTTATTTCCTCGAATGCACTATGCATACATATAATGCGATATTAATCATTTTATTAAAAACAGATCTCTTTTCTTATATATATTATAGTTTGCATACCGGTAAATTTTTAGCAGAATCGATATAGAGTGTGAGAAGGGCTGTACTCATCGACGTAACTCTAAGTTCCTGAGTTTCTATTAAAGCCTGCACAAGAGTTATTAATTAAAAATTTTATATGTAAGTATTAACATAGAGAAATATGTATGTATTTTTTCCTACTTACAGCTTTCAAATCAGCAGGAGTTTTGGAAAGTTGCAACCATATTAATCGCAAATGAACCATACCATGCTTTGCTTGTTCCAAGGAGACCCACTACAAAATAAGATCAATTTGATTATTAAGATAATATGAACAATTACTTTCATGAGAAAAATTCCATACTCACTGTATCGATCGTGCCTTTTTTCTTTACTCGGTTAATTTCAATGGTAGCTCTGTCAAACAATTTGAAATACAGATTTTTAAAAATCTTTGATTATATATACACAAACTCTTAATAAACTTTTAAGAATGTTATACAAAATTATTTCAGCAGTTTCACAGATGAATGCTTTTGGCGATAATGATGTACAATCACTGAATTTACAAAATGCAATATATATATATATATCAGTGATACCATTTTTATGAAGCTTTCATGCAGCAATAATGCAGTTATATTACTTCTGATGCACTTTTATAATTCTGGCTTTAAATAAGAATACAAAAGCATGTCATTGCACATTATATACAGTCATAAAACATGCAACATTCCACAGTATTAATTTATTGCATATAAATAAAATAGATGTTTTAATGCGTTTATTTAATATGTAATGAGAGTAATGTGGTGACACGAGTTCAGAATTATTTTTAGCAAGAGTTTATTGAAATTTTCATGTACCAGAGTTTTTCTGTATATATTTTGAATAAACAACATGCATCACAGGTACATGATTAATGTTTATGTTTAAAATACTTCAAATATGCTGCAATATTTCATAGAAATAATTCATGTAATAAAGAGAAAGTGCGGAAATGTCTTTCAAGCGTAATCTATAATAATCTCAATGGCAGAGTATTCGCGCATATACTAATTTACATTTCTATACAAGTTTCTTATAAAATGCATCATATATTGATCTGGTCTAGGATTGGTGTACTTGCTACATTCAGCAATACCTGCCAAGTGGATCATCTTGAGCAGCGTTGTCTTTGTCAAAGAGCTGGGCAACCATCGTGTTGTAGGCTCCCAAGCCCTCTTCCACTATAAACTGTCACCACATAGTCTATTTTAGTTACTATTCTTATTAATTGCAAGTCACCTGATCACTCTGATTAATTAATTAAAATGATCAAACTAGGATAAACGTGGGATGATTTTTTATTAAAAAGAATATTTTTTTAAAAATAGGAAAAATGTTTAATTATGATTATATTTTTAACAAAAGAGTTAATAAAATATTCATGGATTATATTAGAAATACTCAATATCACACACTACAACTATATGGATGTAGAATGTATAATATAATAAAAAAATTAAATTTTGATAACAACTCCAAAAAATATATTGTAATATATTTGTTTTTTTAATTTAAAAGATTGAAAATAAAATAAATGTGATCGTGCAACGCGTTTGAAAGAAGCTATAATATGCAACATTAGTAAAAATAAATAATTTAAAACACAGTGATAGGGGGAGATGGTAAAAAAATCTATTTTATTATTTACACAGAGATAATACATTATATACTATGAAAACGCGCGATTAAACAACATGCACAGACAATAACATCAAATTTAACATCTATAGTTTTTTGTTAGTAGTGCATATGTAAGCATTGCCTCATTCACAAATCATAATTACTACCTGCCAAGGAAATCATCACATTGTACCCCGGGGACATTTGGATCCCAATCCCAAAGAGATACCACAGCTTCTTGCATATTGCATGAACTGATTATAGCCTGTATATTAATATTATGACGTATAACAAATATAAAGATGACTCTTTTAATACCAACTAATAATATATCTTCAATTATATTTATTATTTCCTTTTATGTAAATTTTTGTACTATGTAAAGTGTATGCTGAATATGTATATGAATTTTCAAAAAAAATGAACATAACATTCCATCTCAATTATAAATATGATATGTACATAATTTTCTTTTAATCTGAAAAATAACTGCAATATGCTGCTAAATAGGTGAGTGATGATCAAAATTATATATTTCATAATGTGACGATTTTACTTTATGTGTGTAAAGCATTAGTAAAGAAAATTAAAAAATTAAAAATTGAAACCAACATGCATTTATAGATATCACGAAAATAGTATTCAAACCAACAATATAAATATTATCACACACCCACATAATGAGAGATCATGCAATAGAAGCTTCTTCATGGATAAAAAGAATAAATTCAATAAATTTAATGAATTATTTCAGATGAATTATATATGTACAATATAGAATAAATTATATATAAAATTATATAACAAAAATATATTAACTAACAAGAGAGTATATTATATTGTATAAAATTTAAATTTTGTTGTTAATTTAAATTTATTTTTATGATTAATTGTGTGATGACATGAAAGCGGAAATATTTTAAATGAATAATAAAAAAAGGTACAGAATGTTGTATAACTATACCTTCCAAGACTTTCATCGCCCTTAGTATCATCATAGTCCCACAGCAGTACAGTCAGTTGTTGCGCGATGGCTGAAGGCACGGCACACTAGTCCCATATAATATGCACATCACATACACACATACATACCAATTTATAGAATAACATTATATTAACATAAACTAGAATGTATATTCTATCTGCAATCCGAAACAGGTAACACTAACCATTAAAAGTAAGAGGAAATAGAAAAACATGGTCATAGAAATCGTTTTAAAACAAGTATCTGTGATTGATTAAAAGTTATATGTGTGTATGTAAAAATTATATAAGAAAGCAGAAGGTTGGGCTGTTTAGAACGTTAGATTAGCAATGTATTGAATGTTTAGTACATAAAAGATACTTATCTCTATTTATAAGAAAGGTAAATGTAGGAGTGTTGTGGTACATCCAATAGTATCCTTAACTCAATAGATTAACGCGATGAAAAATAAAATGTGTACAAAAAATGTTTACAAAAATTCGCTTTTTAAATTGCTAAGATATTTTTTCTTACCACGTAGAAGACCTTGTGTTGTATTTTTTTGAAAGATACATGTTGATAGATTGCAGTGAAGCACATGCATTAAACATTGTTAATATATATATTTTGTGCTCAATTAATGAAAAATTGTACATACCTCACACCAAAAGTCCCATTTTGGGTTAACAGTATTGTCAATGGTTTTCGTTCTAAATTCCTGGGCACCAACATTTATGATGGCATATGGATCAGACTTGCCCTTACCTAACATTCCAATATCTTTCTTCATCAGATGCTTTGCTTCTACAACGTGAATTCTCAGAACACCCTAATTAAAAAAAGGAAGAAACATATAAAAATATTTCATTAAAAGTAAGATATATAATATTATATATAAGATTTGCTATAAATATTAAATTATTATAAATCTTACTTCAGGTTCAGGCATCTTTAAAGATTCCATTGGTACTTCTTCGCTTAATGGTATAATTATTTTGTTTGGCAATACAGCAATAGCTGCTACTTGTTCAATAATCGTCTTCCTTAAAATATCACTGAAAGAAATACCGTGAATTTTACTTCAATCTCGTTCAATTAACAAGCGATGTTATTTAATTAATTATTAATTTCAGGTTAAATTTCAGATATCAGAATTTCAGAATTAATTTCAGAATAAAAGATACAATTTTGTATAAAAAATCATACTTGAATCCAGGTAAATCTAATACATCAGCCACTCCTACTAAGTTAAAGTTGATAGTAGGATTATTCAAATAGAATATCTGTACACCTCCGATTAACGGCATTACAGATAGCATAGGTTTCATAACAATGCGTATCAAACCACGTATCTAAAAATATTCAATTTTTACTAAAAATTATTAGGAAATATTCTATATAATCGAGTTTTAATATGCTTACTTGAAAATCCTTAATACCGCCTTTAATGTTTCCAACAAAAAAGGTAATATCACAGTCACCAGCATACCTATAAAAATACAATATTTTATATTAAAATAAATATTTTTTTTTTTTTAAATATAAATATACTGTGAAAAAAAACAATGAGGTACATACATAATATCTGCATCTAAAATGATTTCATTTCGTGAAGTATTTTTATCATACACTTTTATTCCATAAATTTTTGGTGGCTGTAAAAGATTACTTTCGTAAATTTTAAGAAAAAAACTACATACACATACACACACATGCCAAGTTAAAACAAACTTACAATACGACCTAAAACTAGACGATCAAATTGAAAGCCTTTTATTTTATATTCAGTCAGTTTCTCAACAATTGATGGTTCTATATTTTGTTTACACAGTTGACGAACAAAATGATTCATACTTGGCCATACTTTATATAAGATCTGAAAATATAGAAAATAAACTGTGAAAAAAATTGATTTTTGCTTCTGAAACGATAAAACAGTTTGAAATTTATCTTAAAAAAAAAAGTAAAATTATACATTTATAATATAAAATAAATAAACTATAGCGCATACTCTGTTTAGCCATTCAGCTCTATCGAAGTCAGGAAAATACACCCATGATGGTAATTCGTCTATTCGACCCATGATGAATACTTTTTCCTTAGCCAATGCACTTGCTTGTGTTGTAAGCATTCTCAGCTCGTTATCTTTTTTATATTCTGCCTTCCATACGGAAAGTGCGATTGGCGCAATCAACCAAGCTATGCTGTAGTTAAAGTATCCCCATCCCCAAATGATACCGGCTGCTGCCAGTTTAGTTAGAAATGATACAGTTAGCGAGCCGACATTCATATATGGCCAAGTAATTGATTTAGAATCTTTATTAGAAGCATTGTTTTCTGTTTCTCCTTCCATTATCAGTTATTATTATCGGTTTTTATCAATCGAGTCTCAGTTTTCCTATAAATAAAAAATATGTAATATTTTATTATAAAGCTTGAAATATCTTCATTCGTGGAATTTTACACATAAAACATCTCATATATGAATCATATTTAAGCCCATGTTTGTTTAAATAATTATCTCTGATTTAAATAACTTATTGAAGCGTTACTTTTACATACAAAAATAAAAATATTATATTTGAAAAACAATAATACTCACACACATACAACAATTATATACAATTACATTTTATTATTAATTATCACAGAAACAATAACACTATAGTGTTAGAAATATAGAACGTATACGTTCTGCATGCATTCGTTTACTCTAATTAACATTCATTAACATAAATATAACTCTATAAAGACTACTACCACGCTTAGATAGATCTTATTTTGAAATTGCTCTATTGCATAGTTAGAAGAGTACCTCTATCCGCATATTAAATTATATCAACGCAATTCACGGTGACCTTTAAGATCATTGAGAAAGAGAGAGAACATACAATTTTGACGATACAGAACACAGACTGGTCCAACACACCTTTTGCCAATCAAGACAAGATATGCAAAATATCAAGCGCGATATATGTTGTAATCAAAATAGTATATTTTTATTACAACTACATATTATATTTATTACAGCATATGATTCGCGTTTATATTTTTATTGCATAGTTAACAATCCATAAAATCAGAATATTTACTTTTATTTACAGCCATATATATTTATCTCGATATGATTAAAATTCATTAAACACAAAATTTAGCAATAGTGCTTATAACGCTTAGAATTATCTTAGAGTTTTATAATAATCACTATATATATATTGTATTGTTATATGTATATTTTATTTCAGAGTTATTATTCTTTTATCATTCTTAAATTATTATTACTATTCTTATTATTATATCTATATTTTTAGGAAATGTTTATTGTCACCTTGTGATTATTAACAACTTTTTAATTCGAATTTTATGAATAGAAAACAAATAAGCTCTTTCAGATTTCTTTTATTATATTTTTCTATTATATTTCACAAAAGATAATATGTTCTCTGAAAATTAAAAGGTTCGCCAATGAAGTAGAATAAAATCAGGAAATGCAACAAACGTAATATCATATTGCGACATGCATGTATAAAAGTTATTAAAACGTGTGATTAACGTGAGAAATGAATTTTCTTGTAACTCGCTCCGTTTTTTTGATTTATAGCAATCCAGTTATTATTCGCGTTTCTCGCTGCGAAATGATTCATATAACGATAAGATAACATTTATGGTAATTGCAATTGTTGGTAGAGATGTAATCCGCATTTGCAAAATGGTAACAACTACGAAAATCGATTCTCCAAACACAAGGAAATAGAACTTGCTGTTTTCTCTTCTTGTGAAACAGGTATTTAGCCGAAATCTAAACATAGCTCAATCTCTCGCACAGTGAGATGTATTCAGATATTCCGAACGATTCCGAACGTATAAACGAGGAGAACACAGTAGAGTCTAATGAAACATTAATGATTAAATATGAATAAACTTTAAGAAAACGTGAATAGAAAGAAATTTAGTTTCGCAATCGTTTTCAAAAATAAATATTTTAATAAGAATTTAATAGTTTGGAGCGATAATAATGAAATATCTAACATAAACGAGATTTTTAAGTTATGGTAGATATAATAAATCATTTTTTTCATACAAATTTCTGTACACATACAATATGTGCAAAATTTGTGCACATTTTCTAACAAAAATAATTTATTTTATAATTACTATATGTAATTTCATATTTAATACACATTTTTCACACAGATCATCTTAATACAAGAAAAAATATAAATGTAATAAAATCATATCAAGTTTGCAATCAAATTTTGCTGTTATAAACCAATCATCTAATAAATATTATTTGAAAAAAAAAAAGTCTTAAAAAGGTCTTAAAAAGTTCTGTTAAAAAAAAAAATTCGAGTCATAAAGGAAAAAGCCATAAATGATTCTTGTATGGGTTAAGGTCGTCAGTTCTATTATTAGATTATATTTGCCCTTCCAGAGTAATATTATTGATAAATTTTAGAATAATAAATTTTCATGCATTCTTTTTGATCTGCATTTCTCAATTGGAAATGCAACATTTGTATTGTATTAAAAATATATGCAAATAAAAACGCAAAACTATATCTGCTCGAATGTATTTTGAGCGATGAAACTATAAAACCATGTATAACTACACACGTATACAATTTTATTACAGATATTATTATATTTACACGGATTATATTCATAATCATGTCACAAATCATAAGTTGATCTTTGATTTTATTCCTTTTCACAAATTTTTTCCTCCAGGTAGAGCTAATCATTTGCATATATCTGATGGAATACAAAATTAGGCACACGTCACTAATTTATGTATCATTCCTCGCCCATATCGTAAGATATTTGTTTCGGAAAATTCAATCGTTCGCAAAAGAATAATTAATACATTCGAGACAATTGCATGACAATGAGATAATCGATGTACAGAGTCAATTTTGTTTGCGATAATTGAGGCAATAAGTCGCTTACACCATACTTAGAATCGAGTAACATATATGTATATTTGCGTATTCGTGTTCTACCTTTTTTTTAGCGATGATGACAAAACGGCAAACATGCGTGCGAACATACAGATTACCGCTCCAGGACTGCTGCCTACCTAACCAAGACCCAACCACGATCGGACTCGCCTGAAGTGCTGCGAGGTAGTGCGAATGACGTCATGGTCAGCTGATCGCGCGAAGTTGCCTGCAAATAGCTGCTGTCGGCTGTCGGTCTGTCAGTCCGCTATTGTTGTCATTGTAGTACAGTGACTTTCTTTGGTGTTCTCGCTCGTTGAGATTTCATTTCGGTCTCCCTGATCAAAATCTTCTTCCAGTTTTTGGCGAAGCATCGTCTCGTCTTTCTTCAATAGCTCGAGCGGCGGGGAAATCTCATCATGGGTCTCGTATGCTCCACAGCTCAGGTAAGGCTAAGATTCAGAGATAACCATTGTCTGACTCATTCTTTCCAGAGAAATAGACTTTTCCTTTTCTCTCATTGAGGAAAGAACTACGCATTATCGTATTCAGCGAGATATTTATGATTATGATTATGCAATAATTATAATTATATTCCATTATTGAAAAAGTCATTAGTTGTATTTATATATTCCTCTATGGACAAAGAAGCTTTATATTGAATCCTATTTTAAAGCTATAGTTAAATCAATTTCAATCTCATTTTGGTTTATATCATAGGAAATTTTATGAATTCATGCACGCGAATGATCGAATGTCTTATTATATGCATCATTTTTGTATGTCTTCATTATATATGTATCTCTGAAGTATTGATTGTACTATATACATACATA